GAGACGGCGGATCATGAAGTCAGGAGATCGAGACCATCCTGGCTAACATGGTGAAACCCCGTCTCTACTAAAATACAAAAAAAAATTAGCCAGGCGTGGTGGTGGGCGCCTGTAGTCCCAGCTACTTGGGAGGCTGAGGCAGGAGAATGGCGTGAACTCGGGAGGCGGAGCTTGCAGTGAGCTGAGATCCAGCCACTGCACTCCAGCCTGGGTGACAGAGCCAGACTCCGTCTCAAAAAAAAAAAACAAAAGTAGTAGCTGTATTTAATCTTAGAAAAGTCAGTGAAGCAGGGAGTGGTGGCTCATGCCTATAATCCTAACACTTTTTGGGGCTGAGGCGGGCGGATCACCTGAGCTCAGGAGTTTGACACAAGCCTGGGCAACATGGTGAAATCCTGTCTCTACTAAAATACAAAAATTTAGCCGGGTGTTGCCGCATGCGCCTGTAGTCCCAGGTACTTGGGATGCTGAAGCATCAGAATTGCTTGAACCCGGGAGGTGAAGGTGGCCATGGGCTGAAATCACACCGCTGCACTCCAGCCGGGGCAACAATGACTCTCCCTCCAAAAAAAAAAAAGTCAGTAAAGAGAAATTAACCAGTTTTCTCAGTTTACCTAAAAACACTGAACTGGAAACCCTGCTTTCACCTGTGATATACAGTCCTATAATTCAATTCAATGTAATTTATTATCATAGGTGGTTTGAAAGAATGAACTAAACTTTAGGACTGTATATCACAGATACATCACATTCAACTAAATTTGACTTAACAGATTAAAGTCCAGTCAATTTTCTCTAAGGTAGTAGTTCAAAGGCCAGGTTCCAAACATTTATGGAAGTCCATCAGATTGCTCTGATAAAGGACAATATATTAGGGTGCTATCAAACTGTTAACTTAGACCATTTCTCTAATACTTACTTCTAAGATATTTGAAGCACAAATCTAGGGTCACAAAAGGAAACATCGGGCCAGCTGCGGTGGCTTACGCCTGTCATCCCAGCACTTTGGGAGGTCAAAGTGGGCGGATCACGAGGCAAGGAGTTCGAGATCATCCTGCCCAACACGATGAAACCATGTCTCTACTAAAAATACAAAAATTGGCCGGCTGTGGTGGCACGCGCCTGTGACCCCAGCTACTCGGGAGGCTGAGGCATGAGAATCGCCTGAACCCGGGCAGCGGAGGT